GGACATGGATGTCTCAATACCAATGAGGTCGTTGACAAAGGTGCTGGCAACCCAATTGTTGCGTCCCAAACTTCTGGCGCAGCCCATGACCGACATGGAATGCGTTGTTCCACGGCAGCATTGCGGTCGATTTTTCCAGAAACTCAGGGCATTATGCCATCAATAATTGCATGCTGTACGCATGCAGACCGCCACAAGTATGGACCCACCAAAAACTTGTGCGTCTGCAAATACAAGGGCGACATGTCAATGCAAGGACTTGCGTTGTATGCGCGTTGCTGCTTTTAAACATTGTGATTGTTGCAGCCGCAAACCCTGGTAGAATAGCAGAATCCCTTTGTAGAAGCGCTGGGCGTTACAAAGCGAAGATCTCACGCGGTTCATTTTGCACACTGAAGTGAATATCGACACCACAATAATGATCCATTAAGGCTACCAGAAACATCAATGGAAGGGTGGGCGCTGGATGGCGTTGTGACTTTTAAGCCTTGCGCTTGTTGCACTCGCAAACGCTGGTGCAATAACTGAAACCCTTCATAGAAGCAAAGGGAGTTACAAAGCGAAGAACCTAAGCGGCTAATTCTGCACACAGAAGTGAATATCGACAGCCCCAGTGATGATCCATTCACACTACTTGAAAAGTTGATGGTCGACAGTCCGTCAACCTAAGACATATTTGGTAACGAGCCCTGTCCACTGCCAACCTGTTGGAACTATCTCCAGCAACCCAATCTCCTCATCGTGGCTCCTTATGGGCATGACATTCAACTGAGCGAAACACGAGCATTCGATTCGCGAACGCAGAGATACAACTTTGCTTCGGCGGAAGGTGTTGGGACTGGAATCGTTCTGTAAGCAGGTCTTGGATGGCAAAGTGCCGCAGCTCACAATGGCCATTCGCTGAGTCCGATTGCCCATTGCATCTGGGCAATAGCGCGCCAGGGTTGAACGTCCCAATATACCTGCGTGAAATTGCGTAAGCTAGAAAACACAGAGAAGAAAATGGGGTATATCGAGCTTAAATATAGACCGTCGCCTCATAAAGAAATGACATATTTAATATTCGTCAAAAAATAAACACATACTTCCTCCGTCCCATATTAAATGTCCGTTGTGAGTTTGACACATCACCTTACCATCATGGACTTTTGTTTTTCAACAAAATTAGTTCAAAGTTGTGCTTACGTTTTTGGAGTATACGGTCAAAATTTCAAGTCAGTCCGTCAAGTATTGAGGATTTGGCATTAATTTATAATAAGGTCCTCTAGCTAGAAACCCACCCGCTTTGCAACGATTCCACGTGGAATCATGCACGAAAGCGGCCGTTTTCGCTGTTTTGAGGAGCACACTTTCGTAGCAGTGAAACAGAGCCGCCCGTGCAAAATTATCCACGCCGTTCAAACATAAGATCGGCGTGGGGCTTGTGAGGAAGCACGGCGATAGGAAACGCGTTCTGAAGGCCCTGATCCTGCAGCTCGCCGTAGCTCACAGTTGAAATTCAGTGCCAGTCTGGTGGACCGGAGCTGCCTTCCGGCCCCAAATTTTCGGGGCCAGGACTTTTCGCCCTCTGTTGGTGTCGTAAAGACAACAGAGGGTGACTCCGAATCCCCTTGACAGAGGTGACAGAGAAGATAAAGTGCAGCTCTGCATTCAGCAGCAGCCGATGTGGAAGCTTTTGTCGACACGAAATTGGTGCGATTGGCTTTGCTATGGAATTTCAGACAGCTAGATACAAAGAGAACGGTTAGGTGAATAGCACCGTGTCTCTCTCATGAGGGCAGAAGATGTAGGTGGTGATGGATTGTGGTCCGTACAAAAGAAGTGTCTGCTAGTGGCAATTCATGGATCGCAGGCGAGCTGCACGCGAAGACCTCGATTCAAGGATCAATCGAGGCAAGTTGTCCAAGCGAAGCCCCCCAAATACCTTGGAGTGGTAGAGTGCACAGATCATAGGCTCGAACATCCTGGATCTTGCCTTATTCCGCTCGTTGCTGGCCCTTGCATCTCGTATCTAGGGTCACGGCAATTTCTGGCATCGTCGACATTGTGACGATGGCCTTCTGCCACGACGATCCAAACACCGTCGAGCGTGTTGACCAATGCTATTCCACTCGAGCGATGTCGCCCTTCGCCACGGCGGTGGCGAAGCCATCCCCTTGGCTGTCCGCATGGGAGCGACCCAGAACCGTGCGGATATCCGGCGGAAGCGAAATCGGCGGGCACATTTTCCTTCCAATCCAAGGGCAATTTCTGGGGTGCCCTCTAAAGGGTGGGACTTGCCTTTCTTCCTCGAAACTTGGTAGTTAAGGGTTCTGGGACCCAATATTTCTAATTATGATCTTGTTTTGTACTTTTGAGGCCTTTCTTACAAAGAATTTTGTATTTCAAATAAAACACATTTAATATGGGACGGAGGAAGTATATGCAATAATCTTCACTAAATTGACCAGCAATCTCATTAGTTCTTTTAAAAGCACTCGCTATCATCAAACTCACTGACTGTGGAGGCTCATATGTCGAACATACACTAGGAAAGGAAGGTCCAAATAACGCGTGTTCAAACGTGTACAAATTTTGGGGCTTTGGGCTATTTTCATGTTTTGAACGTGCATTACACTGATGAAATGCATACATATGTACACACCAAACGTTTTATTTGGTCCTTTTTTTGCTAGTGATACACTGCCATGCACCGCTTTGCAGGCATAATCCAGGGACTCAGTGGCAGGCCAACAACAGCTCGTAAATCGCAATCCTTTGGTTTGGCAGCTACGTACTCCACAGCACCAGCGGGTTTGATCATGGGTGCTTGCAGACTCGGCACGTCAATTTACTGTTGTCATATCCAATCGAAACTGTGGCGAGTACAAAAGCCGCACTGTTGGTACACATCTTTTCGCAGGCAAAACTACACGCTATCAAAACTGCATAACGTAGTTGTTCCCAAAATGGGTGGGATGCTAGAGGGCAGAAATGCCCCCAATATGCATTGCCGCGTGCGGTACGTCAGTGGAAATCTGAGATTGTGCAGTACATGGTAACTGCGCAGGTAGCATTTGATGCTTGCATCAAATGCCAAAAAGAGAAACACCAAAAATCACTGGGATTTCGAACAAGTTAGATTGTATCGTTTTCCTTGTGCAACGAAATATATCATGTATCTGCCAAAGGCAACACATTCAAACATTGCTCTTGCAAAAACGAGCTGATCAACAGTCTCATCCATTTTTGTCTCCAAGCTCACCGGTTATGGAGGCTCATATATACGACACACACTACCACGCCCCGTCTTGCAAGCAGAATCCCACTGTTTCAGTGTGAGACCAAGAGCAGGCCCGTTATGTACGTTTACGTTCGTTTTTAATGCTTAAAAAAAGAAGCAATTTTCCAAATGGGCTTTTATGGCTGGATTCACGTTTTGGCGGATCGTTGTGGCGTCCAGGTCACACGATGAAAGTTGCGTACAGTGATCAGTCTTCCGGATCTTTGAGAACCGGCAACACAGCGTTCACTTCGCCCTCGGCAGGGGCCACGACGGCGTGGAACAAAAAATCATTTTAATTCCAGCGCGTCTGAACGCCACTCCTCGCACTCCTAAGTCTAAATATGCCGTCGCTGTGTACGCAGGGATGTATTTAATTTTCATTTACGTGTTTTTGCCCCTTTTCTCAAAATAAATTGCAAAAGAATATTTTCCCGTGTCAAAACTGTAAGTATGATCAGTTTTTATGGCGTAAGTAGCAAGCTAGCGGCAATGCTTCATCAACGATCCCGTTTGTGAGCCCTGATGTACACCCAGAATTTTTCAGCCTTTGCTGCAACATTGGTATACCCTTAGACAGAAGCTAACATTCAGAGCTCATGTCTGTAGAGCGGGATTGACGTAAGGGCTTATAAATGCTGAATCAAAACATACCAAACTTCGGATGTATGAAGATGGAGGGCCTCAGATGCAAGCTCAAGCGAAGCGGCTTCCACATTTGACTTCAGCCCCATGGATTGTATTTATTACAGCATGGGAATTCATTCAATGATCTGAAAGCATTGCCCCTTGCACGTGATGTGCTGCGTGGGACACTGATCATTTTTGCGATTGTGAAGGACTTGCAAGTGTTTGTTCCCGCACCTCTATTGTTTTCAGTTGCTTGTTTCTTTTTCGGAGACTTGCTGATGCTCTGTCTGTTTACAATTTATGTGGGTGTAGAAGGAGTGATCGAAACGCACGTATCCCGCAAATTTCGCTAATTATTCGCAATGTGTCATTGCGTGACACCAATTTCGGGGTCAGAATTTTCCGGATCGTCCAGACCAAACCAGGCCAATCGGCTACTCCCCATAGGAGGTGGCCAGACTCGGCGCAGCATGCCTGTTGCCTGTCCCCACCTCAGATAAAACAATCATACATATTAGGGCATTCAGCACACCACATTGAGGCACCCAGTGGCATTGGCAAGTAAAGATCCAGCGATATCAGCAAGTAGCCGTAGGTACCTGCTCCGATAGAGATCTGCGGCCCAAACTTCAAAATTTTCAGGGATTTATATCATCGTCATTCATTTGTCTCCCACCTTTTCTTACCTCATATAAATTATCGCAAATAGATGCTCCTGTACCGGCGTTATATTCTATCTCATTCATCTGGCAACCCATGCTCCAGGCGCCTGCCCTCTCTTCCATATGATTAGATAAGACACACCTAAACTGACCTGCCTGTGTTGCACGCAAGGTAGGAACGGCATCCCGTGCTCCGCGGCCTTCAGTTCTTGGAGCCACGTAGGAAATCAACGGGCCCATCCGGCAACGGAAAGCATTGCCGATGACCGCAGCATGCAGCTGACCTAAACCAATTAGTATTGGTGTGAGGGGGATTACCCTCGCACCTCTGAAACGGGTTGGAAGTGAGACCACGGCACGCGACCGATCCAACCCATTGAGAGACAGGTTCTCGCAAAGCACTGGAGCTCCTTTTTCTGTGTACAGGTCTCAGCAAAATGCTGGACTCACTGCAGCATTTTGGAGCCATCGGCATCTGCGGAGCAGCCCACCGGGGCCTGTGGAACGGCGTCGGTAGCCGACGCCTCCGCTTCAGTCTGCCCACTGCCCCTGACGGTCATGCCTTCGACATTGCCACCCGCCCCAGCCATGGCTGTCGAATTGGACTCCGTGGGGCCTACCCCCATGGCCATCCCTGTTGAACTCGACGTGGGTTGCTGGACGGGTGCTGGCAAGCCAACCGAGAACACACAATTTTCAGCCTCACGATGTAACCCTTTGGTCGGTTCGGGTGAAGATAGTTTTTCCACGTTTTGGTCTGCGATTCATTTCTGTTTACAGGTGCTGGCGTGGAGGGCAGACGTAAACACGTGCTTTCGCCCAAGCAGACCAGTGTCTTTGTACAGAACAAGGCACTATTCATACATAAAAACGTTGAATTCCTATCCCTAACAATTGATTCATTAACTAATTTAAACTTGCAACGCTGCAAATTAGCTTATACGAAAGTTTCATACATTAATCTAAATCACCACTTTGATTAGCCTACAACCTAATAAATTGACTATAGCTTCAATTTAATTGACTTATATGCCTTCCTTTGTAAATTGACCGAGCCCAGAATGCAGCGGGACAGCAGATCGTGCACACCTGCGCAGCCCTCGTCCGCCTCGGCAGTCACAGCGCACGTCCACAACAGCATGCCCTCGTACTTATCCGCCTTCGCAGCCAGGCCCTCGGTTGACGCCAGCTCGCAGACGGAGCGCGCAAGCTGGGCTACTTTGTTCTGAAGGCCGCGGCGCACACGCAGGGGCTCAGACGGACCACAGAAGACCCAGTGCAGAGGAGTGTTCTGGAAAGCTATTAGAATACCCCGCTTTGCGATGCCAACCGAGGATACGTTTGACACTAATTGACGGCGCCACGGCGACTGCGGTGGCATCAAGATAGCTGCAATTGCAGAAATTAGCGCCAAGTGACAACGCAGTGGGAGTATCAACAATGGTGTTCTCTGCTGGTGGAACCTGTGGATTTCATTCGATGTTTATTGACAGGGGGGAGCCTCAGCGCTTCTCGTTGCTGGCACTCCTTGCCATCCGGCCATCAACGGCAACGCCGGCGGGGGCAGCAACTGAAACGGTACATGTGACTTAAAGTCTCGGAATGCTACCAGAACAGGGGTGTTAGGCAGATGAGCGGGCAAGGACGCAACACATCATCGACAAGAAGACTTGATTCAACACATGCCCCTTTCCATATTCTGCTATAGCACATGTCAGCACAAAATTTTTTCTTGTCGTCATTGCACAATCCGCGGGTTGAACAATAAATATATAAGGGCAGCACAATGAAATAAACGCAACTCAAAAACCCAACTCACCCCATTGCTGACTTCACAAGACCCGACGTCATAGACGACTTTTGTAGCCCTCGCGCCTTTTCCAGAAATGGACACGGCATCTGGACACATGGATCAGGTTCAGACGGATGCGGGTATCGTCCAGGCCGCATCGATTCGCCAAGATGTTTTGCTGGAAGCCGCGAGCGATAGCGTCAGCGCCATGGTCAAATAGTGGGAACGAAAAAATCGGTTGCCATCGGCTTTGCAGGCATTGTTTGTCTTCGAATTCAACTTCTGCTCGAAATTATATCATTATTTTGACATGATAAATGCAACAAATAGGACAATAGATAAATGGAAAATAAAGGAATAAAGAAATAAATAAATAGGTAAATTGGTAATTTGATAAGGCGGACACAAGGAAAATGCAGCTTTAACCGAGTGACTGCAGTACTTCCATCAGCACAGGAGCTTGTGTAGTGACCCCCAGCAAATGCTGATCATGTGCCGACCGGTCGGCGCGGTACCGTGGGAGTGGCCTCACGAATCCCTCTGGAGCCAAAACATGCTACACTGTAATTGAACAGCTACATGCCATGTGGGTGAAACAATCATCATCGCCATCATCCAATGGCCATCATTCAACCAATTAATAATCACAATTGTAACACGATAATCCGCGTCTGAATATACTCCAGGGTCGAGGCTGCCCATGAAATGACCGTGGGATGCTTCCACTTGTTTCGAATCAATTGTCAGTGTGAGGGTGAGGAAATTGTGGAAAGTAGTTATGGAGTGAATGATGCAAAATATGGCTTGATGGGACACGGTGAGCGCGGGGACAGAACACGGTGAATATGGGAAAGGTGATTACTAACTGTGGGCATTTCCTGTGAACGCTATTTGTTTGACATGCTTGCCTTGTAGCGTATCTGTTTACGGCCTTGCTTCTCATGCATTGGAACAACCTTGCGCAAGCCTGTACAAGGGTGTCCGGTTACCCTTGTAGTCAGCAAGACGCAGCAGGAGCAATACTCAGGGAACGAAATGTCCTGTCCACCGCATTTCCACTGAACACATTGGCGTGCCAAGTACATAGTGTGTACACTGTGCATAGGGTTTGCATCGCACACTACATGAATTCGTTCTGCCTGGGAAATGAGCACTTGCAAATGCAAATGCCACCCAACATTGCTGAACAGGTGATGGCTAGCAGCTCGCGTGGATTCAGTGAGTCTTGTTAGGTGCCCGGCGCTGTGGCGTTTTGCTCATTTTGTTTCAAAGAGAGACCTAAAATAGCCAAGTTAGGGTTGCAAACAATGATATCAACGGACACCCTACCTGAAGCACCCTTGATGGTAAAGACACTGTCAAAGAAAGTGTTAGTGTCTTCGACGATCACCGATCCCTCTGCTCCATCTAAAAAAATGGCTCCCCGTTCCGATGTCAGCATTGCCTCACCAATGGATCCCGACACAAAAACCTTGCCGAGCCTGAAACACAAATCCACAAAGGGTGCAAGGTTTCATGAAACAGAAAGCTTAAAACCAGTTGAAGCAACCATCTGCACAGCCTTGCTTTTCAAAGGTGCAGGATGTGTTGGAATGCACGGCTTGCAACACTCCACTGGTGGAGTTGGCAAACCCAATTCCTCTCTATGTGAAGAAGGTCCACACTTGTGCACTGGGTGAAAACCATTCCCCGAAATTTACCCACCTGGGGTTACAGTGGTGGATGCACAGATGCAAAAGCAGCCGCCAACACCTCAAACGGTTGCACGCCTTGGATAGTGCTCAGCAACATGCCCACATCATGTCTGTGTACTAATATAAAACATTTCTGGTGGCGCCTTCACATTCACATTGCATATTCTGAGTGCGAAGATTTTGTAGGCAAACGTACTATGCTCCTTGGCAGTTAGGGAATGAGCAACAGAACAAGGTGAATAGAACAAGGTGAGCAGACCCCATTGGTCTGGAACCACCAGTAGAAACCAACATTTTGCCGATGCTAACTGCGATGCCAACTGACGCTAATAGATGCCATCGCACCTACTTTTGTGCCATCTCAGTAAATGGGCGACGGCGCCAATTTGTGTCCCAATGGCATTGCAGTTGGCATCACAAACATGGTGTTTTCTGATAGTGAACTCTGTGTGCCAACCACCCCTCCAATCCAAATGCGCAAATTTCTACTCGTCGAACAAAATTGGCCCCAGTTTGAGGCGAAGGCTTCTAGCTGACAACTCTATTGTGGGATCTATGTTGTCACTGTCCAGCCATTGCTGTTTCAGTGTTAACAACAATCTGAAACCACAAACACATGAGTGACATTTTCTACCTTTTCTGGTTTGAAACCTCCCCCTGCGGGATGCCGATTGGCACGCCCCCTTCTATCGAGTACGCCCACCCGCCCCCAGTCCTCCCACCCACTCCTCAGTTCCCTGCCCCCCCTCTGCCACCAGTCCGAGATCCAACAACATCTGGCCTCTCGGCTGCCACATGCCGGCGCGCAGATCGCAAGCCCCATGTAGCCCATAGCCGCGCACCAGGCGCGAGCGGACACCTTGCCAAAACCGGGGCTCGATGGGCTCGATCAAACCCCACCTGTCAGCGAGCGCAACGGCCGAGTTGACCCGCCACGACCACGCATGCAACCCCGTCGATCAAGGCTTATAATAACATGGTCGATCATGGATTTTCGGTGACGTTCCTGAAGCCTCACCGAGGCCATCAGAGGGGTCTAAAATCTTCCCCCACCGACGAACGCCACACCCAAACAGCCACATGACCGCCCGGGCAGCTGTTTGCCAAACGGGGCCGCGAAGTTGAGGATCCGCGCGTGTTCACTCACCCGATGGCGAAGGCCTTGAGGGATTGGAACCGCCCCCCGACCGCCGCGACCATCCCAGTGAATTCATTCGTCAGGGCGATCTCCTGCTCGGCAAACGCGTCCAGCAGCACAGTGGCGGGGCCGGTGTTCGCCACAGCCTCCAGCGATCCAGAAGGCACCGCCACCCTGACCTTTGCCGGCCCGTCCAGGGCCAGGTCGGCGCCCAACGACAGCACCAGCTCGCCATCGGCGACATCCGCGCTGAGCGCGTCAGCCACAGCGCTCGGAGCATCGATGTCGATTGTGGCGTTGCCCTCTGTGGGCTGCAGCAGCACGTTGAACGGCAGGCAGGACTTCACCGACGAGAACGCCCTCAGAGGGGATGAGGTCTCCACGGCTGCCGAAGATCGCGCCCCAACGGCCAGCATGGCTGCAAGGCAGAGGAGCCTCACCGCGCTTCGGCAGTGCATCGCAGATCCTCGCATTGAGTGATCCTCGGCGTGAATCGAGGGATCGAGCCCGATCGGCAATCGGAGGATCGAGCGCTGGACTGCGGGGCGGGGAGTGCTGGCTGGCTGGTCGGGTGAGGTCGGTGGGGTGGGGGAGGGCTTGGAGGGCTTTATGGGCTGGGCCCCGGAGTCGCAGGGTGTGCGTCCGGGCTGAACATTCAAACAGAAGTTCTTGGATTAGGGGCCGTGCATAACACTCCTTCGGAAGCTTGAGCGAAAGTCCGGGATGCAATGAAGTGCGATACGCCGGCCCTGGTATATACCCCCCTGGCGGGGAGTACTCTTCGGGACACAGGGAATGCCTGTGCCGAAAACAATGCGCTTCTTGCAGACGCCGCGTAGTGTATTTTGTTCGCACCAGAGGTTTCGTCGAAATACTGTCGAAAGGAAACGGCAGTGACGTGCATTGGTGCGCACAGTTTCATCTGACCTGCACTTTAAATTTGAAGGGGAGGCAACCCATAGTCGCAACGTTCGGAGACAGAAAAGGGAGAAAAGAAACGCCGGTTTCCATAAACTGCGTTGAAAGGTAATTGCTGGAAGGGAACAGCCAGCCGTAGGCCAGCACAATGCACGTTGACTACGGGTGCGTTTGAAATATTCCCTTCTCTTCTTGCATCATTTTCAGGCTGAAGACATTTCCGGAAAGCGTTGCTTTGATACAACATTGAAGCAACGCTTTTCCAGACAAGTCATTTCAAATAATTTCTATTATGCACATCAAGGAATGCTGCAAATACACAAACCTTTCAGTGAGAAGTAAAAATTCTGAAATACAAGGCACAAGGTCTTGCGCTGGGTTGCCATTAGCATTACTTATTGGTGCAATTGACTGGAAAACACGTTGTCGACAGCACACTTACAGTAATCCACGCTGGAGTAAATGGCACCAGAAGTGGTTTGGGCACGTTCCCAATACGACTGCGTCCCAATCAAAGGAATTAACAGAAATGCGCTTCGAGTTATGGCACAATACTTAATGTTAGAATAATATCGAACAGGATTGTTTTTTACGCCATAAGCACAGATAGTATTTACTTTTTAGGTGTACAACTAGTTTTGCGGTTTTACACAAGAAAACACGTAGAATTACATAAATACAACGTAATTACAGCACCATGCGCATAAGGAAAGTACATGCAGATTCAGAAGTACGAGGAGTGGCAGCCAGACGCGCTGGAAATCGAGCTTTTGTTTCTTGCCGTCGTTGCGCTTGCCGGCGGTGACGTGGGCACTGTGCTTTGGGTGTTCGAAAGGACGGAGGGCTGCTCATTGTGCGCGACTTCGATCGTGCAACTTGGGTGGCACAGCGAGCCGTGAAAACGTAAATACAACCGCAAAAAAGGCATCTTCTGCAATTTACTTTCTGCGCTCAAAACGTAAACACAACATGAAACGTAGACGTCAACGAAAATAACAAGCCTAATATTCAAATAATATTATTGCAATATCCCTGGTGGAGCTCCCACCCCATTTAAACAGCGTTCACAATTCTGAGACATAGTATTCAAATTTCTTACAATAAATGACACCACATCTTCAGCTTAAACAGAAACTGTGTGAAAATGCGCTGTACTTTCCCAGCTTTTCCAGTACACCAACATATGGATGACGGGTCTGTTAAGCTCTTTCCTGCAGCATATTTGTACTTGGGAGAGGATACGGTACCTGTATTTTCTTTTGTGCGTAAATGTGATGCAGCCCTCGTCTCATGAGCGCAGACAGCAGAAATCTGCCTGGCGCTTGGTGGGTGAGCAGAATCAAATGCTTTGCCACTGTCAGGCTTGGTATTTATGTTTACGTTTTCACTTTCACGTATTTGCACGTAAAAACGTAAATTTGCAAAAGGGCCTATTTTTGTGGTTGTTTTACGTTTTTGCGGCTCCCTGGCACACGTATGTTACACAACAAAAATTGCGTACAATGATCAGCTCTCCGCCATCTCCTGCACTCGCAATACAATGTCCACCTTGCCTTTGGCAAGGGCGATAATGACGTTTAACAAAAAAACTCATCTTCTGCCCCTTCCAAGGCGTCTGGCTGCCACTCTCTGGGCTATGTAAATCTGTTTGTACTGTCCTTATGTACACCAGGCAGTTTTGCCGTTGTATTTACGTATTTTTTTCTTATTTTTATGCGTAAAAACGTAAAAACTGTTTTTGCGCGTAAAACGTAAATACGATCAGTTTTTACGGCGTAAAAACCAAGCCTGGCCACTGTTGGCAACAAGGGCCAGTGGCATGTGCTAGTCACATAATCTGAACCCCATTACCCACACACCCACGGCCCACCCAGCCCCAAAAAGGAAATGAAACGGCCCAGAACTCCCTTCCCGTCTCGTCTCTCATCATGCCTCCCCCACTTCATACTACAACCCTCGCTTGGAAGTTCATCGTTGCCGCAGCCTCCCCAGACCCAGTTCCACATCGGGCCCCTTTCCCACCCTCCTTCCCGCCCCGTCCTCGGCACAATGATTGCACCAATGAGTGCATTGCACATGAACTGCACCGCATCCGCCGGTGCGAGCGTCGAGGAAGCTGATGGCTGCTCCCTTGCTTTGTTGTGCGAAAATGAATGACGATGATGACGACGACCAGGTACATCTAGTGCAAACCCCTTTCCAATCCAATCAAATTCTCACCTCCTCTCTGCATTGTTCCCACCCTGCCTCCGACTCCCCAAAGCTACCGAAATAATATTACTGCCTGCACCAAATCGGCGATTGCTTGCACTAAATCACGTGCACAGTATGTCCTAACCTCAGTTTTAGGGTTAGGTTTCACCAACAGAAAACAGCCTGTTTGCGATGCCAACTGTGATGCCACTTTGACGCAAATTGATGCCATCACATCCCTTTTTATGCCATCGCACTGACTGTGACGGCATCAATTTGTGTCAAAATGGCATCGCAGCTGGCATCGCAAACAGGCTGTTTTCTACCAGTGTTTAGTTTTAGGGTAGATTTTAAGGGTAGGATTAGGGTAATTGCAGGTTTAGGTTTTAGGGCTTAGGGTTTGGGTTAGGTAAGTTTGGAGGGAGTTGGTGCAAGCAGTCACCGTTTTAGTGCAGAAAGTCACCGATTTGGTGCAGCCAGTAATTGTATGCCCAAGGCAACCACCCCTCCACCGCCTCCAGCTTGCACAGAACACCATTCCCTTCGCTTCCCCAGCACTCCGCCCGCCAAAACCTCCCCCGCCGCGCCTTTCCACACCCATCACTCGCCCTCGCGCTGGGGCGATGGGAACCGCGTGCCATCCCCACCAGCTCACCCAAGCAGCGACGCCGTGAGATGCCGTGGAGGGCAGGGGAGACATCACCCAAACGGAAGATCGGCATCTCCCCAATCGTGAGTGCCACGGGGAGTGGTGGCCGCAACAACGATCGGAGGTGCAGTGTGGAGGCGGTGTCGGCGCGGGTTGCAGTTGAGTTGGATCGAGACTGTCGCGACGACTCGGTGGGCGTGCCGCTCGTCTGCGCCACCGGGGCCGCGGCCTCCTTCGGTTGTGGCGCTACGCCGCTGTGCCGCTGAATCCATGTGACAATTCGTAGGAGTTTTGGATTTTTTGGAAGTGGGGGTGTTGTTTGGAAGATGAGGATGGAGGCAAGATTTTGGACATTGGTTTGAAATGCGACGCCCGCGGATCGAGGCTCGATGGCGTTCATGGAAGCCTGGTTGTGCCAGGTGTTGTTGAAGGAAGGCAGTGGTATTGTTGAAGGAACATGGTCAGGGGTTGCCCTTCTCCGCAGCGCTGGGTTGTCAGATGACGAGAATGGATAGACAATTGGCCTGCATCAACCCATCCCCCTTGCACACAGTATGCCTACTGTTGTGAATGTTTGTGGTGGGCATGGCAATGGAGTGGGTGGTGTTAGTGTGAAGGCCACCATGCATGCAAACAAAGGCACTGTGAATTGTGTGCAGTCTGGACATGACAAATTGTGGCACCTTTGGTATGGAGGGCGTGGCTGGCACAGGCTTGCTTGGAGGTGGTTTGAGCCTGGCATGCTCAGGGGTATCCAAAGGTGCAGAGAGATGTAATTGTCAACAGCCTTGTGAGTTCTGCATGTGAGGGGTCCCACATGCTGGTCATTAGTGTCATTTTTCCTGTGGTGGTAATCGCTGGCTCATTTGCAGAAACAACGGACATCCACTGATTGATGAGATTTTGTTGTGAATGCTATGACTGTGAGCAATGCTCCGTGAGCAGAATTTAAGGGCAAAAGTTCGGTTTTCAAGGCCAGTTGGAAGATGGGGCAGTACTTGGGAGAGCATGGTCACATGTCCAGCTGCATGTCTCCTTTTGCAAATGCTGACACAACACATAGAGGCATGTGCACCAGGACAAAGGTAAACATAGTGTGACTTGTGTGTAGGAGATTTTTTGTGGGCAACTGGTTGAAAACACAAGGGGATGGGTCGAGCTATCTCTCTTTGTGTGGATGTGTAGTTCAGTTCTCTTGTGCCTGATGTGCCTGTGCCTTGTGCCTGTGTGGGCTTCATCCAGTCATTCCCATTTTGCCATGTGAAAGCTGGAATGAAAGAGTAACTTGTATATCCATCTTTGGCTTTCTTCTGATGCAAAGAAACAAACATCGTCTGGTGCTGAATGACAATCTCGTCCTGCCAAACATGGCATCTGGCACCAAAAGTAAGCATCCTCAGATGGTTGACAGTTCATATCAGCAGTGCTTGTGCCACTGCAATTCTCCATAGTGTGAGCAGTTTCTCATTGCGACTTCTGTGCACTTGCATGCAGGCTTGCTATTTATGCCGTTAACACAGATCGCATTTGTGTTTGTATGCATTAAAATAGTTTCTACGTTTTTACACATAAAAGGCGTAAAAATACGGAAATGCAATGTAAATACAGCCCCTTGCACATAAGCACAGTACATACAGCCTTCAAATGTCCAGGGAG